AATGATAGTGGGCATCCTAGAGAAGTTATGTTTACTAATTAGTTTTTTATGAGGAATGCTGGTTAAATTTAAAAAGTGATTGACTGAGGTAGCTTGTCGTAATGAGACGGTTCACTGTAATCCAATTTTTTAAAGAATTTAAGCTGTTTTTAATTAATTAAGATATTATAAGAATATGATTAAAAGTGTTATATAAGCACATGTTTAAAACATCTATTAAAATAATTTTTATAAGCTTTTTAAGAGCAGATTATGATTTTAAAAAAATGTTTTTTTTCTTTATTTAGGAGACATGGTTTACAAAGAGGGGGAAAAACCATTCTTTTTTCCAAGCAGTCGAAACGAATTTTTATGAAATGTTATTATTGTATTATGTTATTTTTAATTAATTCTTTTTTTCAGGTTTTGTAAAGTTTATGAATTAAGTAATAATTATTTTTACTTCTGTATTTTAATTAGCATATTATTTGCTCATAGTGTTTCACAATAAAATTATAAATTCAATAAACTTCTGAATTAACATGCTGTAATATAGAGAGAGCATAAAGTTTGTTTTCTGTGTCACATGTTTATTTCACAATTTGTATGCGAATCTCGAAATTTATAATAACTAGGAATACTTTTTTAGTATCACTTTCGAAATGGTAATATTAAGCTAGATTTATTACATATTATGTTTGTAAAAAATTATAGGTAAAATTAAAATGCATTAAATTTTAAGCTAAACTGAAGTATTAATTTTAGAAATAAAGTTAAATGCATAATTGTATTAAGAATTTTAAGGGAACAAGGCTTAAAAATTAAGGTCAGTTGGCAAAGTTTTATGCTTATTCAAAAAAGCATGACATTAGGTTTTTAATGAAAGACTTCTATCTGTTAATTCAAAGGAAATTATTTGAAGGTAAGTAAAAAGTTATGCATTATTTCAAACAATAGCAGACTGTTGACAAACACTGAGTGCAGATAAGAATAAAAAGATTAGTTAGACGTTGTAATTCAAGCGTATGAACAAAATTTGAATTCCTTGTAGTAACAAAATAAGTTCATTGCTATGTTGAATTCTTTAATTTACTGAAAATGTCATTTTTTAGAAGGAGAGAATATATTTTTGAAATAAAGAACAGCTGTTCTGAATTCTTCATAGAAATATTTCACAAATGTCTTTACTGTATAATATATCATATCACATGCAACACTTTTACTCATATAAGTTAAATCTAGAGCAACGTGTGTCTATTAGCTAAAATTACTAAAAAAAAGTTCTAGAACATATCTTATTAACTGACACTAAAACATGCAAATAAAACATACTATTTTTTTCAGCTATTTTACATTGCAAATATAAGGAGTAGCAGATTAATTTGAAAAATTTAAATTAATCAAAATGATAATATAAGGCCTTTCAATAATATCAGACATAAGTTTCTTTTAATAAACAAAAATACTCTGCAACAGATAATTTACTTTGAAAAAGCATTGCTGTTGAAAGCACATCTTTTAAATTATTATTCTGAGGTCAATTGACTATTTAAAAAGCCAAACATTATGCTTCACTTGCATATATCTGTATAATGATATACACATGCAGATATTTTTACTCAAACATCTTATTTCAATATATTTTTATAATAATCATCATTTTAGACAAAAAATCTATTACTTTTATAGACTTATCCTTAGTATTATCTATGAAAAATATATTCTACACGCATAATTACTTAATGGGATATTAGAAGGAAATAATCTGAAACCTTTACAGATACAACCATTGGAATTTTACGTAAGAAAAGTATCTTCTACTCACATAATAACTTGCTATAATAATACAAGCATATGATTAACCTGTAGCGGTTAATCATATGCATATACCTGTAACGGTTACAGATATATCGTTTGGGATTTTACATGAGAAAAACATATTCTTTTTACATAATTATTTGCTGTAATATTACACGCAAATAATCTGTAACCATTACAGATATATCGTTTGGGAATTTACATGAGAAAAAATATGTTCTACTTACATACTATATGCTGTGATATTACAGAAAAAGATCTGTAACCATTACGCAAAACTCTTGTAATGTTACAAGAAACACTGTTCTGTACTCAAAAACCCATGCATCCCAGTTCCATGGTTTTTTAGTAACCTTACAGATTTTTTTTTTACAGTGTAAGGAGGGAGACGCACAACATGATGCCCATTTTCCTTTATGATGTTGTCAATTTTATATATTACTTTTTTAGGACGATTGCATTCTGTTAAGCTGAACAGTTCCGCTTTTCGCATTTTGGGATCGCAGCATATCGTCTTCTTCATCAGCCAATTTACCATTGTTTGCTTTGTAGCATATTTCGTGGGTGTCGGATCTTCAATTTTTGTGTGATACGGGGCATTATCCATGCATACCACACTTTGAGGTCGTAAATTTGGAAGAAGCTTTTCCAACACCCATTTTTCAAAATTTCCATAGTTCATTTGCCCATGGTAATCCCCGCTTTGAGCTGATGCTTTATATATAAGTTGGGCACCTGGAATAAATCCTGCGGAAGAGCCAGCATGGACAACAATCAGTCTATTTTTGGAACTGACATTTATCTGTGCGCCCAAAACCGTATCATGCTGCCAACATTTCTTAAAAGTTAAATTGCTGTCAATCCATGTTTCATCGATGTAAACGATGTGGCGTCCACTTGCTCTGAGTTTCCTCATTTCGCGTAAATAATTGTTCCTCCAAAATACAATGTGAGGTCTTTCGATAAGAATTTTTCTTTTGTTAACACATTTCTTCCAGCGAAAATTCATCGAACGCAAAACTTTGCACAATGAGTCTTTTTGTCACGGGAAGTCTATTTTTTGCCTCAAAACAGGCAATAATTTCCGCACAGATGGCACTTTCTTTTCTTTGATGTAAAAGTCTTGTATAGTCTGCCGTATAACGCATTTGTCAAAATCGTCAATTACGCACTTATGATTAGCAGGGCTTTTACGTTTCTTTCCAGGCGTATTTAGAAGTTGATCTTCCCGCATTGTTGATACTTCGCGCTTAATTCTTTTAATTATATACTCCGATACTCTAGTAGCTTGCGATGTTCTCTTCAAAACTTGAGGAAGAGGAACTACTAAAGAGTTCGCCGAAGCTTCAGAAGCGCAAAATTCTGCGACATTGTACACGATTTGACGTGCCTGAGACTTTAAAGGTTGACCTTTCTTAAACTGGAAGGGCATTTTAAAAAATTGGCGATTAACAAGCACTACGAAAATCAAGCTAAATAGAAGCAAATTTGAACAAATACCAGTACAAAAGATATAACAACGAGAATAAAATAGCTAATAGTAATAATATAAGGCTTAAGAAAAGATGCGTGCAGCTGGAATGAAACCAAGAAGATGAATGATAAACTCTTTTCCCTTCAGCCAACAGTCGCCAAAAACAAAATAACAATAAAGCAACCCTTGGTTCGTCCCTATTTGAAATATACTAGCCCTGTTGCTATAGCGACCGCCACCCGCCAGACACCGTGGCGGGAGGTGTTCTTACCATAGACAGACAGTACACCATACAACGAATACACTGTAAAATAAACTATATACAATATATATATATATTAGGCGCGCAAAAGAAATTAAAACATGTTTCAGTTCTCTACATTCTCACACGGCATGCTCGCCGGTCAACTCCAAGTGCCAACCCGTCCAGTCTTTCTTCCCCCCCCCACCAGCCTGCCTCGACCGGTTTTTCCGGGGTAGGTCACTTCCGTTCTTCGTCTTTCATCAGGGGAAGGAACTTCACATAGTCCCTATTTTAAAAAAAAATGGATAAAAGTAGCAAAATGAGATTTATTCTTTTTAATTCCGAGAACAGTCGCTACAATATTAGCCTCTAAAACGAACATATACTGTATTAATTTGTAATATACATGTATCTTTGTATGCACTCTAGATGCAAGTGTTTCAGTTTAATTAGAGAAACCCTGTATATTACTAGCAATTTTCTTATCTACTATGAATAAAAGAAAAAGGAATGTGAAAATATAAATGTTTCTCTGTTCATTCAACGTGTTATTGGTTGAAGAAGCAATATCAAATCTTTGAGGTGCTTTGTTGTTTATATAGCAAAGCAGGATTGCTTTCATCTGCTTCTGTTGAGGCTTTTTATTACTTGTTTGGTGTTTATATCACACATCAAAAGAACTATTTTCATCTATGAGACTTGTACAAACCTGCCATTTATCAGCTGCTTCCATTCAATTCCGTAGGGGATTCACACAAATAAGTAACTAAATGTAACCCTTTGTGATATGTTTTAACTTGTTTGTATGTTTGTGGTATCTTTTAATGAAAAGTTATGAAAACAAGAAGAAATGTATAATTTTATTAGTCTCTATGTATATATATACTATTATAAAACATGCATCATATCGTTTGATTTATATATTTTGTAAATTAAAAGTAGGGCTGTAACTCACTATGAAGGAGCATAATGACCCCCTCTCCCCGGAATTTCAAGGGAAAAAAATTACGCATACGTTATAGGTTTCAGGAATGTGATAATCTTCCTTGTAGCAAAACTGGCATATTTTAATAGGTTTTCTTTTATCTGCCCTTGCATTTTGGAAAATTTCGCGAAGTTTTGACTTTCAACTTATTTGATATGTCACTATGCAAAAAAGGTCTACAAGTTTTACTATCTGGTAAATGTGACTTGCAGAAAGCGAGTACAGAAAGTTGGTAGTGATTGCAGAAAGCGTCGTTAGGATCATTCCAACAAACATAAATTGTGGAAAGTATTGACATACATATTAATCTTTTCGATTATTACATCTTTATATTTGATTTTATTTTATTTGGGACATAATAACATATAGCGACAAATATGCGATAGTTACAGGATATCATTTCGCATTTATTTTCTTGTTGATACAATGCCCTTTCCTTATTTTTTGTTCGGTGTACCTATTAGCTTCTGCTGATAACATTTCCCGAAAATATTAACAGCGTACATAGTAACATACGTATTTAACCGCTCGACAATTTTGCCCGTACATCATACAGGCAAACCTCTCTTGCGCAGCTTGATTTCCTCGTATGTGTTCCGGAAATCTTATACCAAAGTTTTAGTTTTTGATTATCTAGTCTAATTACTGCCTTGTAAAGGAAGTTTAGTTATTGCGAAAAATTTCGAGTATTATAATTCAATGGAAATATCCATTTTGAACAGCTCCCGAATGCATTTGAATGAATTTTTGCGTGACGTATTTACGTATGGATCAATAATGGACTTCCAAAATGAATAGCGAAGTCAATTCAAAAGGTTTTTTACTTTCTTGTACGAAGTAAAAAGGAAGTATTGTAATCGTGAAAAGTTTCAGGCAGCATATTTCAACGAAAATATCCATTTTGACCGCTATCGAATGCAATTTAACGATGCTTTTGCATGATATCTATACGTAAAGACAGAATAAAAGACTCGTTTTCTCCAAAAAAATTATAAAACTGCTTTAAAATGAATTCTGAAGAGAATATTTCGTGGCTTCTGTACGAACGTATGTACGTACGTATCTCGCATAACTCAAAACGAGTAGCCTCAGAACGTTGAAATTTTGTATATAGAACTGCTATAACATGTAAATGTGCATCTCGTATATTGGTTGCAATCGGCCCCACCAAACGTATATAAATATATTTATATATATATCCACTCTGTTACCCAGCTCAGTGATCTCAGTTTCTTTACTCTTATATGTTTGTAAATTGTACATTTTTTGCTTTAAAAATGATTGAATTATGTTGCTTTCATCTTCCGGTTAATTTTTTATGCCTTTAGTAAATCTGTATGCAATATTTTTAGAATTATCAACAATTTTAAAGTTGTTTAAGTGCCACTAAGCCTTTTTTTTTATGGCGGCCATTGATTGTTTACATTTGAAACAGCAGATTAGTGGATTTGTTGCCAATCTAGAGAAACTTAGCTTCGCAACAACAAAGATAACGCCTTCATTTATTATTCCCAATTAAATCATGCTTAATCCTTTCTGGAATTTTTTCGAGGAAATACGTGTTTAAGATTTACTTCGTAATTTTTAATATAAATAGTTTGAGTTTTTATGTATTTTTGCCTTCTCGCGAAGTGAGAACTGAATTAATTGAATGAGAAATACTCAATCGTCTGTGAAAAACTGTTTCTTTTTTGTTTTATTTGCTTAATTTCTTGTATACATCATTTTAGCTTTATTATAGTATTTGAATAGAACATGTAGCAACGATTAGATAATTCTATTCTTTAAATGATATAAATTTTGTGCATTATGAGTTATAATATGAACGAAATAGAATACTGTTAAGTGAATATAGCACCAGAGTGTCGCTATGGTAAACAAATACTAGAGTGAATTTTAAAGAATGCATTTATTCTATTGTGGTTTATGCTCTGTCGGCGAAGTAGATTTAATTGAATCCAATAAGTTTAAATGAAATGCAAGAAAAAATGCGTATAATTTAATATTCCGTACAAGGAAGTCATGTGGTGTACACACCAGATTTTTTTTTTTTTTTTTTTTTTTTTTTTTTTTCGGCGTGGCATGTATATCGCATAACTCAAAAACGATTAACGAAGGAAACTGAAACCTTGTATATGGAACTGCTATAGCATCTGAACAACTAGCGCACCTCAATTTTTTATCGCAATCGGCAGTACAAAACGTGTATATACAGTGTCTCACAAAAGTGATGGGACACTTGTGCTTTACAGAAGGAATCTGTAATAAAATAAATTAGAAAAACATTTAAAAATTTTTATGGGTGTCTTTCATACTTAAATTTAGTAACAATTATTACATAACATACATTTTCTCAAAATATTAAAATATTAATTTGATAAAAATACAATTGTTTAGAACGGAGCAAAAAATAGCTCACATAAGTGATGACACACCTACGTACTATGCAAGAAAAATCGTCTGAAGTCAGCAATAAAAATATTTTTTGGGTTTTCATTTTTACTCAAAAGCAATTGGCAATAATTTATAAAATCGGCTGCAGTATTTCTCTCCAGTTCGTTTTGGAATTTTTGTGTTTTTTAGCTCTGTGCAGCAATGAGTGCTAAACGAAAAAAAAACTTTGTCTGAAATTCGAAAATTAGTTATTAATTTGCATATTGAACGTAGAAAATCTATTAGAGAAACTACTGAAACAGTTAACTTGAGTCATTCAACAGTTTTCAATATCATTAAACGATATAAAAAGAATCATATCATTCAGGATAAAAGAAGACCTGGCCGACCATCAAAGCTATCTGATGGAATAAAGCGCATTATCGTTCGAAATATTTAAAAAAACATCCAAGAATGAGTGCTCCTAAAGTTGCTGCTGATTTAAGAGCATTATATGGTGTAATTCTTAATCCTGAGACTATTAGAAGAGTAATTCGATCTGCTGGATATCACGGTAGAGCAGCCAGGAAAAAATTCTTCGTAAGTGAAAAGAATAGAAAACTCAGACTGGCTTTCGCAAAATCCAACATAAATAAGAATTCTGATTACGGGAATGAAGTTATATTTGCTAATGAGAGTAAATTTAATATATTTGGTTCTGACGGTAGAATCTTCATGTGGAGAAAACCCAGGGAAGAATTTCGCAAACAGAACTTGGTGCCAACAGTAAAATATGGTGGAGGAGGAGTTATGGTATGGGGGTGTATGTCGTCCGCTGGA